ATGGAATTTGTCGAGGTTACCGCTTGAGATGGAGGCGGAGCCCGAGGAGGACGAGGATGAGGGTGACAGCCAAGCAACAATGGTACTAGGGGACCATCTCCGAGAGGAGCAAGATGAGCCGATGCCTTCTGTACCGGAGACCCGGGTGACTGAGAGCGAGCACGATGCCGTCGTCGCCAAGGTCATGACCGAGCTGGAGGCTATGAATGTGGACCCGAGCCCGAAGGCTGCCGCAAACCCCAAGAGTGCGACTGCGCCAGTGCCTGGAGAGGTGAAGCCTTTCTTGGAATCGGAGGAGGACCTCGGAATTACGGACCCCCAAGGCAGAGTGCCAAGGGGTCAAAACAAGATCAAGGTTCCAGCCGAGCTTTTGCAGCCAGAGACTGAGGAGGAGAAAACTCTCAGAGCGTTGCGGGGAATGCTGCCATGCAGTCACAGGGCGGTGACGACTTCGAAGGTGGGCCGCCTCTCCAATCGGGCACGTATGGCGAGACCGGTGCCACAAGATCAGCCGTTCAACCCCCAGCACAACGATCGGAAGTTCAACAGCAAGACTACGACTGTCATGACCCAGCTGCTCATGGCTGTCCATGAGATCACAGTCCGAGAATTCGAGAAGAATAACGTGCCAGTGGATAGAAAGGACATGGCGTGGAATCACTTTCGGTCGAAGGGCTCGAAAACTGCGGTTGTCTGGGATCTGTTGTGTGACCAGAACGTGAAGGAGATTCCAAACAATTCTGAGCCTGGGACTGGCACCTGTGGCTTCAGAGGGAAACTGGGGTGGCGGTCATTGAGCAGATTCTCCAGTGCATGTTCAATGTCACTCCGCCAGTTCATGGCCGTGATTTAGTCAAGGGAAAACATCTGACATACTGGCACTGGTGGGAGGCCTCCAAGAGACTCGTTGAGGTTTATACGACGGAAGATGTCATCTCAAAGGAAAAATTCAGGCCCAAAGACCTGCAGAGCTGGATTGTGCCTTTGTCCTGCAAGATTTGGGATGCTTACAATTACACCATGCTTGTGTATTGTCAGAAGAAGCTGGAACAGAAGGCAAGGGGGGAAGACCTAGACGCGGTGAGCCAGCTGGGTGATGATGTCCCGCCATCGGAAGATGAAGAGTATGTGGATGTTTACCAGACCACTGCGAACTTCGTTCCTGATTGGGGAGTAACTGCAGATGGCTTTCAGGATTGATCAGTGTCGATGATTGAGCTGAACGAGTAGGTTTATTAATTGTGTTGCCAAAACAAAGCCATCTAGTGGACCTCCTCTTCTTCATCCCATTCGTCCTTGGGCACTGGGGACTTTCACAAGGCAGAGTGCCAGAGAGGTCTCGGTGTGACTAAGGCAGAGTGCCACCAAACAGTGTGGCCTGTTCAGATTCATTTTTGTGTCGCTGTCACTAGGCAGAGTGCCGGAAAGGCAGAGTGCCAATGTGAAATCGCATTTCTTGGGGCGTTTGAATGTTGTCACTTTTGCAGTCCGTCTGATCTGGCACATTTCAGCTTGCCGTTTTGGAAAACAAAGACGATGCCTATGCATACAGTCCTGTCGGCAGTAACTCGATGGATTAATTACTGTGCCTGTGAATTGATTGGTTCAACCTTGGTTTCCTGTGACAGCCCCATAAAACCTTTCAGGTGCTGGCGTCCAAGGTGGTTGGCTACTATGGCAAGGCTGGAATGCATCATGCAAGTGATTGTGAGTTGTGGAAGCTGAAACGCTTGCTATCTGGCCGTTGATGGGACCATGCCACGTAGTGTGTACGGACTCTAGTGACTAGTGAGTGGATGCGCAAGAATTTCTTGACCTTGCCGCAATCAACATATGTGTGTTCAAGATCGAGTCCCTTAGTGCTGCAGTGGTGCTTCCAGGCAGAGTGCCAGAGACAGTCGCCGAGAGCAATGGGAAAGTCGAGGAAGAGCGCTCGTGTGAGTGATCAGATGATGTTCCCAATGCAGGGGGCAATGAACCCAGCAATGGGAATGAACAACCCACTGGCCATGATGAACCCTTTCATGTTGCAACAGCAGCAACAGATGCAGCAGCAGCAACAGATGCAGCAAATGCAGCAGATGCAGCAAATGCAGCAACAGCAGCAGATGGCTGCTGTGGGTGAATCAAGGCAGAGTGCCAACGACTCCTCCTCGTCGGATGCAGGCATTGGAAGCGCTATCGTGTGGCCACCTCTTTCACAGCGAATGTATCAATCGATACTGTGAGTCGACCGGGCGGAACAAGGCCACCGCTTGCCCTCTCAAGTGTGCGAGCTCAGCCTCTATGGCAAGGTTCTTTTTGGGTCCGATGGGGTCCACGGGAAGCAATGCCCCTGTTCCTGTCGAAGATGATGCTAATGATGTGGACGCAATCGTTCAGGAAATACAAGCTCAACTCGTTGCCGACCGCACTCGTGAAGAGGAAGCTCCTGAGGTCAACGACCCCGTGGTGGACTGATTGCGTCGACAAGGTGGCTCGGTAACAAGGCAGAGTGCCACAATAACTGGCTCATGTGTATGTGTTGTCGGTGATGTGGCCTCGAGTCTTATTATCAGAAGCTGCTGGAGCGAACCCTTGACACCGAACCCCTAATCAGGACATTTCAGCAAACACTTTGGCTGCTTGGATGTCTGCATGGGCTGTCTTTGCAATGCAGGTCAGGCGACTAGTAGAAAGCCATCGACCCGGATTGTGGGTTCACACACGTGCAACCAGTTTTATGCTTTAGCTAAATAACGTAGCAAACCTAGACACTGATCGGACACGTGCAACGAGCCCTAATTATGCCCTGGCCACATAACGTAGCAAACCTAGATACTGATGTCCCTGCCGGTGCGTCGTTTCACATGGCCGAAGTATGGAGCTTTCCCCGAAACGCGTGTTTATTATGTCCCCGCCACGGGGGCCGTGCTGTGGAATGTGAGCCCGGTCGTCACGGCTGTCTTCGGCAAGACCCAGAGGAGACTTAATTCATTTTGCAGTGACCAGTGAACCCTGCAGGGAATCTCCTGACGCCTCTCGCTGCAGGAGGTACAGTGCCATCATCGAGAAGCTAGCTACCGTGATCAACAAGACTCACTGTCAGCTTTTTCCTGACACAGAGCCGCCGTCGGTGTATGCCACATGGCCGCATTCGCGACTGCAGCCCCGCAGTGCTCGTTGGCCAACCCTGCAGCTGTGTTGTTGTTGTTGTTGTTGCAGACAACAGAGCCGGAAAACTTGTCATTCCGAGGTTCAGTCTGGTTCAAGAACCCGCAAGGAGGTGTTGGATCCGCGCTTGGTCAGTGCTGAGACACTGAGAGATGCCATACCTGACACCGTGAGTTCCACTTCCATGCTCCTATCTCAGCTTGTGAGATGGGCCTCTGGCGCCCGAAAGTCAGACGAAGCGTGCAAGCAGAGACTTGCCTAGCAAGCTCAGGTGATGTTTCTCTTACTTGCTCTCTCTCTCTCTCTCTCTCTCTGTGTTCCTGTCAGCCCCAGCTGGCCAACCAAGGGCAATTTCTGTCCTGCGAGACTGGTTGCATCCCGCCTGCTGCTTGCCGGGATTGGCGGAAGTGACGATCATGCAGGCCACTGCGCGTTAGCTTGTGTGCACTGGCCTTGACAGTCTTGCCGTTTGTTTTAGGATCCCGGGCTATCTGAAAGCATGTGGCTGTAGCAAGGTGCCCGTTCGGGTGGATACTGGCAAAGCCATGTTGTCCGAGCAACCCCTGCTGGGCAATTTGAATTGGTGGAGCTACTTCAGACAATGGTGGTTCCAGGAGAACGAATCCACGACACGCAATCCAAAAGCATTGCACATTTGCCCTTCGAATGCGTGAGGCTCAGTGCATGCAGTGAGCGACAGTGTAATCCGAAAGCCGATAGGGTGCTGCATGCAGCCGGAGCAAGCATCTAAGTTTCACTCGCCGTCTTTGATGGAGCTCATCAGCCTTTTCCTGTACCACGGCAGCGATGCCACCGTAGCTGTGGCCCTCTCTCTGCTCCCCTTGTTGTGTCAGCAGCTTATCGCCAACTTGGATGCACTGACTGGCAGCGACACGCAGAAGGCAGCGTCCCGCACCGATGCCGATTTCGGGAAGCCCATAGATGTGTATGAGCTGGATGCACTTTTGCACAGCTTTCACGAGGACTCTTAGTCAGAGTCAGTTTGTGGACAGTGTCGTGTTTCGGTGTGTGTCACGCATCTGAGCTGCAGGAGAGACCGTTCCACACGCTGGAGCAGCACTTGGCACACAAGGGCTTTTCTCGCAATTTGTGTTCAAAACGGGTCTACAAGGAGCCTTTCTGCATGTTTTGGACAGTTGGGACACGCGTTTGTTGAAAGAGCTCTCCACCCCATCCACCCCTAAACCCTAAACTTTGTTGCGCGAGCTGCGAAGACCTCGCACCCCCAAACCCGAAGCTTTTTACAAATCCACGCCCTTGTCATCAGCAGTTGTTCGCAGGAGTACGGTTGCGCGTACCGCTACAAAGCGGCGAAGCTTGTGGAAAACGCAAAATACCTGCAGGCGGGACGTTCCTGACTCAACACATGCACGAAACCGAACTCGTTGCAGGTGTGCGTCGACGCTGGCACGCCCGGAATGCTGAAGGAGTTGTTCGCATCTTTGTTTGTGCCTGAAGTGGGCGCTGGCTTGATCTTGCCACAACAAGTCGTGAGCTCATCAGGGCGCTGCGTGTACTTGTCGTGAATGGCAGCATGAACCATTAACCGTTTTGCGTGGATGCTCTGGCTCACGGCTCGCAGGAACCGGAGCATTGCAAAGCTTTTTTCATAATTTCCCCTGCTGGTGATAGATGATGCCTTTTTGAGTGGAGATGCGATGGGAATGGGTGATTTAGTGCCCCGCTTCCAGTGGGCAGATGTCACGCTACGAGTGCTGCTGCAAATGGTGGGCCACCCACAGCTGCAGCGATCGCTGTTGTGTTCCAGCCAGGGCAGTGACTCAGACTTCAGTGGAGGTGCAGCAGCCTGGGAGTGTGCCGCGTCCATGCTCGAAGCATCTGCTGGCACCCATGGCCTCAGCATAGACCTCGCCTCACGCACAGCGACTGAGCAAGGGCTGCATGTAGCAACATGAGGTTTTTCTGTTTCGGTTGGAAGTCTTTGTTGTTTGCACCTCCGCGGAAGTCAGTTTTGTATTCCGGTTGAAATTGTCTGATATTTGTTAAATTGTTCTCGTTTCCAGTGCCGTTTGGTAGTGTGTCCAAGAGTGCTGCCTCTCCAGGAGTTTGACCCGACCATGCGGCGATTGCTGACCACATCGCTGATGGCAGATTGCTGCGTTTTCTCAGATATCCTCGAGATTTGGGGAGATGACACGACATCAAGCCAAGCAGCCATCGTGCAGTGTTGCTCCTTTGAAGAAAAACTGCTCTTGACTCGCAGGCTGGCCAGAAAGACACATGGGTATTGTTTTACCCACGACAGACTGTGTCCGTTCGCTTCAGAGGCCAAAGTGCGTGTGCAAGGCCCCCCTTGCCCAGACTTTTCAAAGATTGGGTCTCGGACGGGCCTCGCTGGCCCACGCCTACCTGCGCTCTTAGCAGCAGGTGCTAAGGCAGATGCTGTGAGGTCGGCAGTTCTCCTCCTGGAGAACGTTCCGGAGTTTCCGTTAGACTTGGCCGAGGCAGCATATGGTCCGCGGTACACCTGGTATGGCCAGCTGCAGGATCCGTCCATGGTGGGCTTCGAATGCACAGCCCGACCGCGGTGTCTCAGCTTCTAAGCTTTTGCTAGCTGCGAGCATTTTCTCCTTGCTGCCTCAGCGGCACTGAGGCACTACATGGCTGGCATCGACTTTCGTGCCTGCAAACCACACTGTGACTTCAGAGACTTGGTCGTGTGTGTGCAGCACCACTTGCGCAGGGAGCCACCCTTGGGGCAGCTTGGCTCTAAGGGTCTCGGCTAGAACTAATGACCTCCTTGTGCTGCCCAGGTGGGCATGGTTTGCTTGACCCGATTTGTGTCACAGGCCCCGGGCTTTGCTGTGTGGCAGCTCGCACGATGTGAAGGAGGACGTGTTCCAGCTAGGACAACAGCGGCAGCATCTTCAGGGCCTTCGTGCAGGCGACCTTCTTCAACTGGAGCCTGCGCAGCTTCTGAACCTGCACGAAGCAAAGAGGTTGCAAGCTTACGTGGAGGCGTGGGCAGCAGCATCCATGCGGCCGTCTGGAGTCTGCGACTGGGAGGACTTGGTTTGTCACTTGGGTGACAACCCTGCAGCTGGATGGAAATCGTGGTCTGCGGTCAGCAACAGGCTGCCTACGCTCAGACGCTGCGGCGGGCTCATGGCCATGCCGGCGGCAGGGAGACACTTGCTCCTGCGCGAGCTCTTCGCTTCGATGGGCTTCCCGACTTTTGAGCCCCTGGCCGCGGCAGCAGCTGTGCCCCTGTATCAGGTGTTTAAGCCACTTTCCCGGCTGACATACTTACATCAGAGACAGGCCCTGGGCAACAGCCAAGTTGTACCTCAGGTGGGTGTTTTCGCGGCCTGTGTGCTGGCCAGTTTGTCTGAGAGTGTTGCGTTGTAGTGGTCGCTGTAAAAAGTTCCAGCAGCCCGCATACCACACGCATGGCCACATGCAGACTGCGCCCGTCTCATGCTGCCTTGGATGGTGCAGGTGTTTTGCAGCAGTACCTGTTTAGCTAGGCAGACCTGAGCGACGTTACCTGAGCTTCTGAAGATGTCGTCTCCAGCGCCGCCACCCCCGCATGCTTCAATCGCTCCACCGCCGCCTGCTCACTTGCTGCCCGGTGCTGCGGCACCTCCACCACAAATCGCAGCATCCGCGTGCCCCCAAGCTTCCCTGCCCGTGCCGGCCGTGGCGACAGTGCCGTGTTCCGGCCTGCCTCCGACTCTGTGCCCGCATGCGATGGCGCGTACAGCGGGGCCAGTGCTGCCCGTGCCTGCTATGGCCTGCCAGTCCCAGCTGTTCCCGGCCCCTATGCAACCGAGGCAGAGTGGCTTGGCCGTGTTGTGGGGTCGTGCTCCCTCTCCCTCTCCCTCTCCTTCTCTTTGTCTCATTCTCTTTCTCTCTTTCGATCTTTTTTCCTTCTTTCTCTTTCTCTCTGTCTATTTCTTTCTCTCTCTCTCTCTCTCTCTCTCTCTCTCTCTCTCTCTCTCTCTCTCTCTCTCTCTCTCTCTCTCTCTCCATCCATCGCTACCCATCTGCGTCTTTAACCTGCGTCCCGTTTCTCGCGCTCCTCTCCCTCTCCCTCTCCCTCTCTTTCTCTCTCTCTCTCTCTCTGCTCTCCTCTCTCTTCCCTCTCCTCCTCTCTCTCTCTCTCTCTCTCTCTCTCTCTCTCTCTCTCTCTCTCTCTCTCTCTCTCTCTCTCTCTCTCTCCATCGCTACCCATCTGCGTCTTTAACCTGCGTCCCGTTTCTCGCGCTCCTCTCCCTCTCCCTCTCCCTCTCCCTCCCTCTCTCTCTCCCTCTCTCTCCATCGCTACCCATCTGCGTCTTTAAC